AGATGGGCTAAAATTAATTTAAAAGTTGATGAGATCCTAGATTGTCAAGGCTTCAGAGAGATGGTCTCCACTTTCTGGGAATAATGCGGACTACTGGTCAACCTTCTGAAAAGTAAACTGGCAACATGATTGCAATTGAAAATGTGTGTCTTACAGCAGATTGTAGTGACTTGTGCCTGTAATTCCACTACCTGGAAGGCTGAGGCAGGAGGATTTCTGTGAGTTTAAGGCAAGTCCGGCCTATATTGTAAGACCTGGTTTTAAAAACAAGGATAAAACTCTTACTTCTTTTTGTTTATTCTTATGGACATACATTATTGAGTCTCTACTGTGTGCAGACTCTCCTAGGTGTTGAGGAGATAGTAGAGATAAGGTACGTGTTTTTGTGAAAAATTGCATTTTAGAGGGGAAAGCAGATAATAAATAAATGTACAGATGTTGTAATTTATAAGTGTCATGAATAAAAAGAAGACAGGTTAAGGAGGTAGAGTATAGGATGCATTGTGACCCTTGCTATCCCCTCTTTCATTGCGGATGTTTATGCATGTGTATATTCATATACATGCACACACATATTTCATTAAGAGCAAGAACTTGTACATACCCGAGATAGCCTTACAACAGAGAGAGAATGCCCACCAACTGTCCATCTATAAACGGCTGATCGCTGTTGAATAAAGCAGCGCCACTGTGCCAACAAGGAAGGGACTTAGGTGATGCTAAACCAGCACAAGATATCTTAGAATAATGTATTTGGTAAAATATGCTGGGCCGGGGGCACAAGTTTGTCATTCCAGTTACTCAGGGGGCTGGGGCAGAAAGATCTAGAGTTTGAGGCCTACCTGGGCTACAGAGTAAGTTCAAAGCCAGATTGGGAAACTTAAGGAGACACTGAAAGGTTAAAAAGTAAAATAAGGGCTGTGGGGCTAGAGAAATGGTTCAGCAGTTAAGAACACTCACCGACTGCTCTTCCGATAGATCTGGATTCAGTTCCCACATGGCAGCTCACAGTTGTCTATAACTCCAGTTTCAGGGTACCTGACACCCTTATACAGACATACATGCAGGCAAAACACAAATGCACAAAAATAAAAATGGAAAATTTTTTTTAAGAGATTAAAAAAAAGTGCTGTGAAAAAAGATTAAGCGCTCTTGTACACTGTAAAAATTTGTCACTCTAATTGGTTTAATAAAATGCTAATTGGCCAGTAGCCAGAAAAGAAGTAGAGGCAGGGCAACCAAACTAAGGATTCTGGGAAGAGGAGTGGTGGAGTGAGAGAGTCATGGAAAATTCACAAGAGCAAGATGAGAATCCTGTACTGAGAAAAGGTACCAAGTCATGTGACTAAACATAGATAAGAATTATGGGTTAATTAAGTATAAGAGTTAGCTAGTAATAAGCCTGAGCTATTGGCTGAGCATTTATAAATTAAGTCTCTGTGTGGTTATTGGGAAGCAGCAACTGGGTATTTGGGAACAGGCAAGTGGGAGAGAAATGTCTGATTACAAATAAGGGCTAGGAATGTAGCTTCATGGTAGAACACTTGCCTAGCACATCCTGTGTGAGGCCCTGGGCTCAACCCCTGGCACTGTGTGTGTGTATGTGTGTGTGTGTGTGTGTGTGTGTGTGTGTGTGTGTGTGTGTGTAGATTCAAAGATGTGAGAACTTCAATATATTTGTAGATGCATAGAGAGGAAAAAAAAGGTAGTGACAATTGTAGGAGAAGTGGTTATAAAATAGACTCACTTTCCCCTCAAAATCCTCCTAACTAATATCTTTATCACCTGACTGCTTCTCCTCCTCTTCCTTTTCACTCGCCCTGCTAAGCCCTTCAAAGGCATCTTATTGCTCCAAGGAAGACAGTCTAACTTTGAGATACTTCACTTAGCATAATGTCTCTTGTCCTTCATCTTTTACCATTGCCCTGCCCCCTAAACATGAATGACTTTATTTAATTCCTTAGAAACATCTGATAATCTTGCCAAGGGGCTTGGGCTTTTTTGTTTGTTTTGTTTTGTTTTGTTTTGTTTTGTTTACCTGAAATCTCCACCCCTCTTCCCCAACCATCTTGAATTCCAGGCTTCCAAACCATTCCATGACAAGGACAATTTCAAAGCTCCTTGTTCTGCCTCCACTTCCTGCCTGGTAACCCCGCCTGTACTTTCTGCCTGGGTACTGGCCAATCAGTGTTTTATTAATATACAATTGACAGGGTACAAACCATTGTCCCACAGAAGTCACTGAAGAGAATTTATCCTTAACTTTTGAGAGACTGATAAAAGCTATTAGGCTTCCCCTCAGAAAACACATAAGCAAAAAACGGGGGAGATATTTAGGACATACTTAAAATATACCTGTAATCCAAACAAATTCTGGGCCAAAGGAATGTTTACCAGCCTAGAAGTCAGATTTAGTTTTACCACCACAGCCAGCTACAGAATCTCATAAAAAAGGCTTAAGCTCCCTGGACTTCAGTCTTTGTCTTAGTGTTCTATTACTGCGAAGAGACACCATAACCAAGACAACTCTTATGAAGGAAAACATTTCACTGGGGCTGACTTACAGTTCAGAGGCTTAGTCTGTTACTGCCAGGGTGGAGAACATGGCAGCATGCAGGCAGGCATAGTGTTGTAGTTGGGATTTCTACATCCATATCAGCAGACAAGAGAAAGGAAAGAGAAGAGAGAAAGACTCTGGTCTTGGCTTGGGCTTTTGAAACCTCAAAGCCCACCCCCAGTGACACACTTCCTCTTCCAAAAGGGCCACTTCTCCTAATCCTTCTAAATAGTGTCAGTGCCTGGTGACTGAGTATTCAAATCTATGAGCCTATGGGGGCCATTCTCATTTAAACCACCACAGTGTCCCTCCTTATAAGACAGCCAAGATGGCACTAGTCCCCCAAAGGATAGTGAGAGGAATAGTCCCTTCTGGTGCACAGGGGGCTTCCATGAAAACCATTTTCTGGACTTCTAATGCAGAGAAACTGCTAAGGCGTTCCTCAGCTAATACTGGAACCAAGATACGAAAGTCAGACCAAAGAAAGACCTGACTTCTCTTTTTCTTTTTTTTTTTTAATATTTATTTATTTATTATGTATATAATATCCTGTGTACATGTATGCCTGCAGGCCAGAAGAGGGCAACAGACCTCATTACAGATGGTTGTGAGCCACCATGTGGTTTCTGGGAATTGAACTCAGGACTTTTGGAAGAGCAGGCAATGCTCTTAACCGCTGAGCCATCTCTCCAACCCCTGACTTCTCTTTTTCAAATACTGCTAGCATGTATCTATGTATCCCAAGGGTTAAATAAAAACCCACATATCTCCCAGGGTCAGCAACACACACTTCAGGCTGTAACCCAGTTGCAGCCTTAGCTTTGGAACCTTGCTGGAGAATGTGAACTGGATACTTGGGTTCATCTAATTGATTCTCAGATGCAGCTTTGGGTTCTAAGGAGGAAACAGGAATGAAACCATCATTTTCTCCCCAAGAAAGAGATTCTCTTGAGAATCTCTTTGGCCCCAAATCCCAGAGATGAAAGTCAAGAAGGGACAGGGAGCCAGGGACCTGATTCTCCCAAGCCGATGCTGGACCAGAGAAGGTTGAAGCAGCAGCTGCTGGACCAGTGAAGGTTGCAGCAGAGAAGGTGATAATTACACCTTCACCATGAGGACAGGAACTCAGGGCAGACTTAAGCAGTGAGCCAAAAGTCACAGAATTGCAGAGCAACAAGGTCAGGATTTTTTTTTTTAAAGATTTATTTTATTTATTATGTATACAGTGTTCTGCCTGCGTGTATGCCTGCAGGCCAGAAGAAGGCACCAGATCTCATTACAGATGGTTGTGAGCCATTGTGTGGTTGCTGGGAATTGAACTTAGGACCTTTAGGAATAGCAAGCACTGAGCCATCCCTCCAGCCTAAGATCAGGATTTGAATCTCCTTCCACTGCTACAAATCTCTTTCCTCTTCTCACTCTAGTTCTTCGACTTTCTTGCCTTTTGTTTGCGAACCAATGAGTTTAATTAGAGTTATTTACAAGATGATGAGCAATGCGCAGGCAGCTACACCACGAAAGGAAGTGTCTCTTTGAGGAGTAAGGCTTTCAAGTCCCTGTAGTAATAGGAGCGGCCGAGCTGTGTCCCCAGCACCCCGGCCGCCTGCTAGCTTATGCCCCGAAATAACAACACACAAATTGTATTCTTTTAAACACTGCTTGGCCCATTAGCTTTAGCCCTTACTGGCTAATTCTGATATCCCGATCAACCCATCTCTAATAAACTGTGTAGCACCGGTCTTACTGGGAAAGATTCAGCATGTCTGACCTGGCGGCTTGCTTCATGGCGTGCGTCTGCATGGGAGAGGGGAGCATGGACTCTCTGAGCTCACTTCCTCTTCCTCCCAGCATTCTGTTCTGTTTACTCCACCCACTTATGTTCTAACCAATAAAATGGGCCAAGGCAGTTTCTTTATTAGCCAATGACCTTCCTCCATCAAGTCCCCTCCCCATGTCTAATCTTCTTGTTCTAGTATTAATATTAACCCTTTCCTTCACATTTTGCTGATGAGGAAACTGAGGTACAAAGTATCTAACTGGGCCAAAGTCACAGCTGAAAAGGGACATAACCAGGACCCATTTCTAACCATCTTCAGAGTCTGAGCTCTTGGGTTCTATATACTGACTCACCTAAAGCCAGTGAACACGCATTATGCTTGCTACACTTTGGGGATTGCTACACATATTTTGCACATATTAATATACCAAACAGGAACTGTTCTGAGGCAGCCTTAAGAGGCGGGAACTATGTGTGTCTCCATTTTACCCAATAAAGAGACTAGACACAGGAAAGTCAAACCACCTACCTGATGTTGCCCAGCATGTGAACAACGGAAGTAGAATTTGGACCTTCAGACTCCAGCGTCTGTGCTCTAAGACACTGTTCTGTGTTAGTAGTTAAACCCTAAGATTACAACAGTCTTAACCAGATCTTCTGTTCTAGAACGGAGCCATGAGGATGGTCATAGAGCATTTGGAGCAAGAACATCTGGCAATCCCTGACCTCTAGACTTCTGTTGCCTAGTGACCCACTGTGCTGGGTAGACACAGTAACTCATGGCTGTGGTTGAAAAACTGACCATTCTGCTTGAGCAGGCAAGGTGCTACAAGTATGTGTGATCTAAGTTAAAAAATGTGATGGTGTAGAGGGGTAAAGGACTGGAAGCTGTTCTCTCTCCTCCTCCTCCTCCTCCTTCTCCTTCCTCCCCCACCCTCACCTCTTGGTTTTTTGGGGGGTTGTTTGTTTGTTTGTTTTTGAGACAGGATTTCTCTGTAGCTTTTGGAGCCTGTCCTGGAACTAGCTCTTGTAGGCCAGGCTGTCCTCAAACTCACAGAGATCCATCTGCCTCTGCCTCCTGAGTGCTGGGATTAAAGGCATGTGCCACCACTGCCCGGCCCCACACCTCTTGTTTTAAGAGATAGAGTCTCATATATACTTAGTAGCCCGGAAATCAATATGTAGTTGAGGCCGACCTTGAGCTTTATCTACTTATTATTTATTTTACACTTGTTTATTGTGTGTTTGTGTGTCAGGGCGTACAAGTGGTGGGGCAAAGAAGTCAGTTCTTCTAGCGTGTAAATCCTGGGGACTGAATTCAGGTCATCAGGCTAGTACCACTGTACCATCTTTCTGTCCTCTGACCTGGAACTTCTGATCCTTCTGAGCCACCTCACTGGCTCTGCCCTCCCTCTGTCTCTTGTGTCCCATTCTCTTTCTCCCTCCTTAGGACAAAAGCCAGTCCCAGTACCTTCTCTTGTGTCTCGGCACTCAGTACAGATCTGGCCTGTTGTTTTATGTCTCATTAGGAAACAGAATGAAGCTGGGACCCCAAGCACTGCTCTCAAGACACCTTGAAAACTTGGAGGCGGCACATGCTTTTAATCCCAGCATTTGGGAGGCAGAGGCAGGTGGATCTACAGACCCAGCTCCAGGACAGCCAGGCCTACACAAAGAAACCCTGTCTTCAAAAACAAAACAAGACAGCCTGAAGCTCTGGGGGGCCTGAAGTGGTGGTTGGCTGAGATGCAGGCTGCTGCCAGGCAACTCTGTGAGCTCATTTTGTGGCTTCACTGGAAGCACATCAAATACTTGGCACTAGGGCTTCCCTCCCCCGGAGACCAGAATGCAAGTTCTTGCTCTGAAATGTGACATAGTGCCTGTCACTTGCTGCACAGGGACATGGATACACCAAGAACCCTTTTTCCTGATGTTGGGAAGTGCATACATTTTAACTCTGGTGGAAGGCAGTGGATGGGTATCTAGGGACGACCAGACAACCAATGTGTATGAGATAGCAGAGCACATAGGAGCAGCTTCCTTCTGTGCTTCATCTGTGGGTGGGGCAGGAGGAATGGGGGAGGGGTGGGGGAGGGGTGGGAGCTAGGCGCCTGGATACATTCCTCAGCCAGGCCTGGCACAGCTGCAGAGGCAGTAGCTGTAGAGCACCAGGGTGGGTCCGTGGTGGCCTCTTCTGATCCCTCCAGCCATAGCACTGGCTATGGTCGAATTGGGCATTCAGTCCTCCCCATAGGGAGGCTTAGGCAAGTGGAGAGGAGAGCATGGCTTAAAGACATGCAGAACGACAGAGACAAAAGTGCTGAGGTGGCCTGGTGTTGAGGGGAATAAAAGCAGAACACAGTCATTATTTTGATGTATTTTTCTATTTCTGTAACTTCAAGCCGAACTCCTTCCTAAAGGAAGAGCCACAGGAATTTGGGTCCTGTAGGGAACATGGCGAGTGGATCCTGGGGAATGGATGCAGGTTCTGAGCTGGCTAGGGCAGGAGCAGGAAGAATGTGGAGGCAGTGGATGGAGCTAGTGCTTGCATAAAGCTCACAACATTTGGGCAAAGTGATATACCTCCAGCTGTTATTTCCCTATTAGGTATTAAATGGGTTTAATGGGTTTCTCTGCACTTGAGGAACTCGGAAGATATGCTCCATCATGGTGACAAGGAGTCAAGCGGAAGTGTCCCCTGGATGGAAGCAACGCTGAGGATCAGGGATGACAGAGCACCCACAGCGTGAGCCTCTGCAGAGCCATGATAGCTGGGTGGATCCACTGGTCCCATCAGAGCCTTTTCTAAGATCAGCAGCCATGGATGCTCCTGAGACCCATATGGTTCCAGTGCTTGAGCCTCGGGGAGCAGACTGCTTCCTATCTCTCTGTACCTTTCTCCCCGGGTCCTGATGTCTCTGGTCTGTGTGTTTAGGGAGAGATGGGGTGGGGATAGAGAATAAAGGGCAGACACACAGTACTCAGTCTCCCCTGACAAGCAGCCAGCATTTTTATGACTGCCTAGAAGGAATTTCTCATCTCCTTCCTTGCTACAAAAACAACAATCAGGGGGCTGGAGAGATGGCTCAGTGGTTGAGAGCATTGCCTGCTCTTCCAAAGGTCCTGAGTTCAATTCCCGGCAACCACATGGTGGCTCACAACCATCTGTAAAGAGGTCTGGTGCTCTCTTCTGGCTGCAGACATGCACACAGACAAAATAGTGTATACCTAATAATAAAAAAAAAAAAACAATCAAGCTAAATCTCTAATGGCTGCCTTGGTGAGCAGGCCCTCAGTGGGAAACCAGATGACCTGGTTTCAGCTGTGACCCTATCATCTACAGATCACTTGCCACAGGGAAGGGGTTAAGATTGGTGCCTTAATCTGTGTGCGTGCATGCGTGTGTGCATGTGTGTGTGACTTAGTTCTTTTTTGTCCCCACTGAGATGTGACTTACACGCATTCACTGCAGCAGGGACATTGGGTTGAAGGGGGCTGAGTGGCAATGAGAGGTTATTGAACTGGTGCAGTAGGAACTGAGGGTCGCAGGTTAAAGGATGGAGGAGGAGGAGGAAAAGGAGGGCAATGCCAACCTGCTGAGGGAGGGGCAGAAGTCACAGAGCTGGTACATTTGTGCTTTTGGGTCTGCCATGTACACTCCGCTGGGTCTATCCAGGGAGGGAGAGGAAGCCGGAAGGCACAGAGGGAGAAAGCCCAAGTTCCTGGAGTCAGGGTGCTCTGAACAGCCATCAGGAAGCTGGTGGGAGGGGGTGGAATTGAGAGAAAAATGGGTTCAAATGAGTTCAAGATGCTGGGATGCTAGTTTAGGGGTAACAATCTAGACTCACTGCGCTGGGGAGAAAGATGTTTTGGTTATGTGAGTAGGGTCCCCACTGTTTTTATTTATAAAGAGGCTGGTGCCACAAGGGGTGGCAGTCCCACCAGGAGCAGCGGGGGGGGGGGCACCCCAGGCCACAGTGGGTCCCTTTGGCAAGTGGGAGACAGATACAACATGCAGAGAGGGCTGGGGTATAGAGTTTATTTAGTGGGTTATGGAGGGGGGAAAAGAAGGGGAGAGAAGAGGAGAGAAGAGAGAGAGGCAGTTTCTAGAAGAAGGAGAGAGAGAGAGAGAGAGAGAGAGAGAGAGAGAGAGAGAGAGAGAGAGCACTCACAGGCTGCAGAGGAAGCAGAGATCTGCTTGCCTCAGTGGAAGTGGGAAGGAGGTTGGGAGAAGGTGGAGCTTGTCCTAGGTGACAGACCAGGCCAGCAGATTACAACACCTGGCTGTATAAACTTAATAAATATTAAATGCATCTCTCTCTCTCTCTCTCTCTCTCTCTCTCTCTCTCTCTCTCTCTCTCTCTCTCTGTTTTGTGTGTGTGTGTGTTTTGTGTGTGTATGTGTTTTGTGTGTGGGGGGGGTAATTTTGTGTCATTGCATGCATGTAGAGTTCAGAGGACAATGTTCTCTATTTATTGCCACCTTCCACTTTGTTAAGGCAGGTTCTCTCTGGCTCCTGAGCTGCCTCCTTTAGGCTAACTGGCCCATGAGCTTCCACATTTATTCTGTCGCCTTTGCCTCTCATCTCCCTACAGGAGGGAGAACTAGGATTGCCCATGTGCACGATGGCATCTGGCTTTCTCTGGGGACTGCAGGGATTGAGGTCTGGTCCTCAGACTTGCAGGGCTAAGCTATGCCCACCACCCCACTCCATGGACACAGTTGTAAAAGGTGATACAGTAACAGAAAGAGGATCCATTGAAATCCCCTAGAAGGAAAGAAGGTATCCAGTTCTCCAAGGGACTTTGCTCAGTGTTCCAGGAGTCTAGCTCTCCAGGCAGGGTGCTACACGTGGGAAATGCCCTCCCAGGAGGGAGGATGGACCATGCCTCACTGAACGCACCAAACACTCACAAACACACCTCAGCCTCCCACAGCAGCTTGAGCGCCAAGCACACCTCTACTTCCGGTGTTACGACAGACTCAGACTCTGAGTATTTGCACAAGTGAGTTTCCACCTGCTTACAGTGAGGTTTTATTTTTGTTGCGGATTCTATCTGCTTCTTCACCACTTAACAGCTAAAACTGGGGCATCGTTTTTTGCTATCCTTGTCACCTCAACAAAGCATCTAACTCAGCGGAACTTCAGGGGGTCTGTTCTCTGTTCTTCACACAAGATTTTTATATAAACACATACGTTTTCTTTCTCCTGGAAGAAATAGTCCTTCCCCCGTTACTGCTTTGGTTAGCATATTTTAATGGACTTTATTATGTCATTTTTATACATGAACAGAAAATGTATTCCAACCCTTGTTACTTCTCCTTCTGTCGCTCTCTCTCATTCCCTCCTATGCCTGCCCATCCCCTTCCTCTTCCCCACCAGCTCCCTTCTACTTTCTTATTTTGGTGACCCAGTGATTTCTATTTTCCCTCTCTTCCCTTTTTCTCTTCTTCCCCCTCACTTCCCAAGGCCTTATCACTTAAAAGAATTTTGGTTCCAACTAGATTCTCCAAATCTAGCTCGGTTTTTAGCCTCACCAGTCCTTCGCCCCTGTACCCTGACCTCAGTTTCTCACTGAACAAGGAGGCCTACTGGGCAAAGGGCTCTTGCAAACCCTCCAAGTGCTGGCTGGCTCTGGCTTCTGCAGAGCCGGAGACACTTCCACCTCCTGGCAACACCCCTGCCCCCACCCCGAGAGTCCTCTGCTGCCCTTTGCTGCCATCACTGGTTAAACGCAGGATAGTTCTCACAGCAGCCTCCCAAGAGGCCGACAAGCTTCTGTGCTGGGAAAGCTTGACCTGGGTTAGCCCTGATTATTGTCAGACTCTCCGGGTAAACCAAGGGCCTAGCTAAGGGCGCCTACCTTACTACACCCGAAAAGAGCGGATTTGCTACCCAGGACTATACTAACCAGCCGAGGCTGGTGAATAACGAGGCATTAATTCTTTGTTAGTGGAAATGAATTAAATGCTGCTTGAGTAGAGTGGGAGCCAAGCCGCCTGTGTTCTGTTCGCAGCAACTGAACAAGCTGTCCTTGCCTGTAAGGCTGAGGCTTCTGGAGTGCAGGTGGGAGGCTAAAGAAGAGCTTTAAACACACGCTACAGTGTAGCACAAGTCCCTAAGTCTCAAGTCCCCACCGAGAGGACAACTCACAGATCCTCCTGATTACATCTCATTTGGGGCTCTGGGGGTAGCTGTCCAGAGCAGATGGGTCTGAGAAGGTGAGCTCACAGGACCAGGTTCAGCCCTGTAGACCCTGGCACCACAAAGTCTCCGTGCATGTGTTTGTCTGCCTGCAGAACACACATAGTTGGGCAGGTCCTTTGTTTTGTTTGTTTGTTTTGGAACCCAGTCCCTGACATGGCAACTCCTGGTGGGCTTTGGGGTCTGGGTTGAGACTGCCTGGACAGATCTGGCTGCTTTGTGTGGCTTCTTGACATTTGTAGGGAGTTGGGCTTAGGGAGGAGGTTAATGGTCCAGGAGTGAGCAAGAGGTAAAGCACAGCCTGTGCTCATGATAGAGATTTTAGGGTGCGTATGATACACAGATGAGCTCTGCCCAGTTAGGGATGAGTGGGGGTCTCCTCCTTGACGCATGAACCTTATCAGCGTTTAACACTCTTGCACTGCGAAAGACCCCGTGGAAGCCTGGCTTGATGGACCTATAATCCCAGAACTCAGAGACCCGAAGTAGGAGAATTACCATGTGTTCCAGGTCAGCCTGGGCTACAGAGTAAGAACATATATTTTAAAGAGGGGAGGCAGGCCTTTGCTGAGGAAGGACAGAGCAGACGCTGGAAGAAAGTATTTACAGGTCATAGGTGTAGCCAAGCAACAGAATCTAGAAATGAATCTCATGTCTAGAGGTTAAAAATAAGTAACTAATACACAAACAATCCCGTTGTAAAATGGGTAAAAGGCACACCAGAAGAGACCCAGAGACAGGGGGTGAGAGTGTGAAAAGATGCCCACCATCAGCCTCCCAGGGCGGTGCATATTAAAGAGACAGTGGAAT